TCTCTCATTTAACCCTGTGGCGACTGTGCAGAGGTCAAAATCTGCAAGTGACTCTGTGTGTGTCTGTGTGATTTTAATTGCTTGTGGGTCTCATACAGGAACAGGAAGCTGATGTCGGGGCAATGTCTTTAACCTTGAGACACAATGTGTGTACATGTATATGTGAATGAGAATCATTTGTTTTATTATATGTAATCATTTTTAATTTGCTGTATCATGCAGTTCAATGTTTTGGTAAAAAAAGTATTATGGTTTTAAATATGGTAATTGAAGCTTTACTAGATACTATATGTTTAACTGAATGTATCAATATACAACCCTGATGTGATAATCGTGACATGTTGCTACTGTTGATGATACAGCTGCTCTACAATTTTAATTGGCCAATCAGTGAGCTTCCACATTAAGCAAAATAACCAAAATGAAAACAAAATGCTAATTGGCTTGTGAGCACAACACGGCATAGAAAATGTACAGTATGTACAGTACATGAGTTACAAAACAAATTACGAGTTGCTGCCACCATGTGTGCACAAATTGATTAAAGAAAACTTTCAATATAATCAAGTGTTTCCATGTTTTCCTGAAGGGGAATTGGGGTTTTAATCAATTAGACTGTATAAAAGAAAAGGAGAACAGTACAACAACAGAGACTACAGCCATTCCCCGTCATAGTGTGCCTTGATTTAATTTAATTTCTTTACACTGAACAGCTTGTTTTCACAAACAAAATTTGGCTGAGAGTCAACATCTTTCAAATACAGTATGTAAAACCAGTTGTCCCTGTGTTTTCTGTCTCACTTGTTGTTGCTGCACATTAATGCGAGTCTCTTTTTCTTTCACTCTATGTTGTTATCATTAACAAGACGAAGAGTCGACAGCCATAGCAGTACCAACATGCTGACGTTTCGCAGGTGAAATGCTTAGCATGTTAACCATTTTAGTTTAGTGTGTTAGCATACATTGGAATTAAATCCTATCATCTTTATTCAGATATTTATCTCTAAATCTTGAATCCATTATGCACAGTTTACCAACGTTAACCCACCCAGCTGGTTTCATCATACAACAACACCCCACTAGCTTTAGCTCCAGAGTTGATTTAGCATGACGAACCATCACAAATGCACTCACCAATGATACGTATTAAAGAGGGTCGCATAACACAGTAACTGAGATCCCTATTGGCCACATGTAGGATCCCATTGACTGTGATTGTCTACCATCTGCCAGTATTCACCTCTAAAGACAAATGACCCTCTAATAAAACAGGTATCTGGTCATCGATATCTTTAGTAGCAATAGAAGGAAATCCCCTAATGTACTAAAGATATTGATCTTCTTATAATGCCTTTGGTCCACTAATGATACTAATTCTAATATTCACTGGACCTGAAAAAAAGTCTTCCTAGATATAATAGCCACTGTCGATGTGTGTGTATGTGTTTGTGTTTGTTTCATTCAAACATCCATGAATTCCATACTAGCATTATTTCACTTTGTGTTATACTCCACACCGCATTACAACCGCCTAAACCAGTATGGATCCGATGCAGTTGGGTTTAATGGAAGAGGAAATACATTGAAGACATTAGAAATGTTGTGAACACAAAGCTGTGGTGTCCCTACACATTACTTGTTGAAATCTACAGCTCAAGAGTTCACTTCATCTTTCAATTGTAACATCTTGAAAGCAGAATGGTTCGATTGTAACAAGTAAGCCTTGAATGTGTCTGAAACAAATATCCCCTTGCTAGTGGTGTGGTTTCAGGGAGCAATGTTTGTCAGTGGTCCAAATGTCTCAACAACCATATGACGGATGTCCCTGAAATTTTGTACAGACATTCAGCAAATTGACAATTGTGATTTTGATTGAAATCTCCCAAATTTGAAATCAGGCACAGATACTTGTCACAAATGTCATCCTCAAGATGAATTGTAATCACTTTGGTGATATCCTTCAGAGCCATCATCAAGTCAAACATTTAATTTATTTGTCCCATCAGCCTCATTTGGTCTTTCTGTTGCGGGCTAATTAGCAAATGGTAGCACACTAACATGCTAAACTAAGATGGTGAACACAGTAAGCATTATACATTTTAACTCCAACTCACATCGCTGCAGTATATGTGTGTGTCCGGTGTGTTGTTGACACGGACCACCCTTTAAAAATAAAGGTTAAATGAATAAATTAATTTGTTGTTATATGTCATGTCATTGTAAGGTGATTCTAACATGATTTAATTATTGGACCCCAAGAAGAATAGCTGTTGTATCACTATAATCAGAAACAAACAAACAAAATCACTGTATTTCCAAACAAAATAGACTTTGTCTGTATGCATAACACAGACTGAAGAAAGAAAAAGAAACAGACAGAGAATGAGAAGAAAAGCCACAGATAGAGAATATTTTATTTATTGCTTCAAAGCATTTAAATATGCAAATTCCTGTTTCCCATGATGTCTGACCTTCTAGCCTTCAGCAGGCGACAGGTATAAATAGTTCATACATTGTCCCTTATGTAGTTTTCATCTTCAATCATTCATAAAGCAGGGCTGTGAAGTTTAAACCTACACATTGAGCACAGTGAGTCCTATATTTTGGACCTGTTACAGCAAATAATCTGTACTGAGATGAGTTTTGCTTTACTTTTTTACGATTTTGTCCCAAAGCAATCTTTTGTTTTGCTGTTTGTGATTGTTCTGGGGTTTTTTACAGACTGTTTCCTGTTTTATTTTGTAAGTTCACTCTCCCCACGTGTCATGTCTTTATACTATTATACTTCTTGCCTTTGTGATTGTCTGCCCCGGCCCTGTGAGTTTCACCTGGTCCTCATCAGCTCTGCTCTCACCCTTCCCTCGTTATCGCTCCCCTTTCCTTGTGCATTTAGTCTTCGTGCCCCCTTGTCTTTTGTTTGTCTTCGTCGCTACATGGAGCTTTTGTTAACTGTTTTGCCTACCTGCTTGCTACCTACCTGCCTCTCATATTGTCAGCCCGTTTTGTTATTAAAGTGTCTTCCCCAAATCTGCATTTGGTTGCTTCCTGCCTGTGCTGCTTCAGCAGCCGTAACGCTAAGATGTTCATTCACACCTGTAAGATCCCCTGTGGTTAAAGAC